GAGGGTATTATGTTAAGCAAAATAAGCCAGTCAGAGAAAGACGAACTCTATATGACTCCACTCATAGGTGGAAGTTAACATATTGACAAGGAGATCTGATCGGTGGTTACCAGGGAAAAGGGGAGGTGGGGGTGGGGGGAGGGCACAAAGGGGGAGGAGGTGTACCCACAACATGACTAACAATAATGTACAACTGAAATCTCACAAGGTTGTAATCTACCATAACATTAATAAAAAAAAAAAAGAGGAAGACATCAAAGGAAAAGAAAAAAAAAAAGCAAGAACATAAACATAATCAAACATACCACCAAGTAATTCAGCAGTCAACTTGCATGGTTACTTACCTTTAAATACTTGAGTGGCCCAGCGTCCTTGGAGCTCTGAGATGGGCATAATGGCACCCAGGGGTTGGATCAAGCCTATGATTGCAAGAGTTGGCTTCTCCAAGTCAGGGGGGAAGACCTTTTTATACAGGGATACCTTGTTTTTGACTACTTTGACAGAATCTTCAAGAAAAGGAAAGGCAAAGCTATAGCCTGTGGCAAAGATAACAGCATCAATATCATCCTCCCGGGAGCCATCTTCAAATATGGCAGCTGTCTCTGTAAATTCCTTCACATTTCCTTTCACCTTCACCATGCCAGAAATTATACGATTTGGCAGGTTATCATTTATTGTTGGATGCTGACTCAGAGCTCTGTGAGTGATGATCAAGACCAAAAGAAGAAATGAGAGAGATTATGAGAGAGAGAGAAATCAGTAACATGTAAATAAAACTCTACTTTGATAGAGGTGGATAAACAATATGCCAATGGCTCCCTCTTAGTCTATCCGGAAATTTGGGAAAGGTCTAATGTATTAAAGCTTGGCACAGATCAGGGTCTCAAGAGCAGGAGTTGGATCCCGGATGGCATTTAAAGGGAAGATATTAGAGAAGTGAAGGAAGAATGGTATTATTTGAAAAGTGCATGTATGCTTTCTCAAGGAATAGTAATGTTCTCAGTGATATGATAAAGCTACAGGACAATGGTTTCTATCCATATATGAAGAAGTCTATAGAACTGGACTATCAGCATTCTGTTGAGCCTCATTTCCAGTTTCAAAGGCCTAAGAGCTAGACTTAGACCATCATTTTCCAAACTGTATAATAAATTACATGTGTATAGTAATTTATGGTTATAAATTGATGTTACATACATTAACTTATTTGAGTCTCACACAAACCCAATGAAGGAAGCAGGACAGGTGTCATCATCCAGCTTTTATAAATGAGGAAACTGAGGTCTAAAGAAGATAAGTGGCTTGCCCAAGGTTACACAGCCTAGGATTTTAGAATTTATATCAAAATGGTTTTCTATGAACTCTTTTGGGATACTCTGGGCCTGTTAGGTAGTATTTCCTAGAGACAGCACAGGATAAGGATGCCAAAAAAATAAGGCAGGGTTTCCAGTGTCTTGGTCCTTTCTAAAAAGCAGTCTGAATCCTTGCATCCTAAGTTAATAGGCTCTGAGAATCCTCAGCTCATTGTGTTCAGACAGAGCTGGCCTAACCTTAAGAACAATACATGTTTAAACAACTATTACTAGTTTGCTGCATTTATTGATGCTTTGACACTAACCTTTAGGTACAGATTCTGTTCTCATTCTGACCTCATGATTTCTTCTTTCTCTCCAAGTTTACTCCTTTTCACTAACAGCACCACCATCCATATAGGTGCCCAAGCCATAAGACTGTGAGTCTTACATCTAGCCACCAAAGCTTTTCCCTTTCTCCTCTAACATCCTCAAAATAGTTCTATCTATTCTCTATCTCACCTGAACTATTACAATTGTCTTTAGGGCCTCCTGCTCCAACCCCCTTCAGTCTATCTTCTACATCATTTTTAGAGTGGTTGTTCCAAAATGTATTTATTATTATGTCACTCACTTGCTTAAAATCTTTCAATAGCTCTGGACTGTCTTCATTCCAAACTTTTTATTTAGCAGAGCATACGAAAGTTTTCATGTACCTGCACAATAAACCTGGAGATGTACTCAGTCACTCTTCCATCTTTGCCATATAGTACAGCCAAACCAGACTGTGTGCAGGTCCCAGAGCATAATGTATTTTTTTGCTATTCCAAGATCTTGTACTTACAATTAGAATGCTACTTCCTTACCCTATTCGTTTGACTGTCTTCTGTTATTCCATATAGCCACATAATTTATTTTATAATCACCAAAGTTATATATGCTACAATTTCCATAATCAGGTGAAATAAATGGGTGAAAGGTTGTTGGGAAGCACATTCCTAAAGTAGCACCCTACTGATTAATTTCAAAGGAGAAAATTTCTTTAAAAAGGAGAAAACTGGTAGATATCAGTTTTTCCAAGTGATCAAACATCATTAATAGGGGATTAACTGATATCATTGGCTCCTGATATGATCCACCAGGAAGGCACAACATAACCTATAAATATTTGTGCTAAAAATGTTTAACTGGAATATAATAAAGGAAGAACAACTATGCAAGTCCTAATTTAGAGACTTTCTGGAAAACAATTGGCTTGGATTCTTAAAAAAAAAAAATGTCCATGTCCAAAAAATGGAGAATTATTTCAGATTAAAGAGATATGACAACTAAATGCAATCAATAGTGTAATACGTGACAGGATCTTGGATTTAAAAATAAGAAAGCTATAAAAAATAATATTGGAATAACTTGGGAAATTTGAATATGCAATATATTAGATAATGGTATTTTATCAATGTTAAATTTCCCAAGTGTGCTAACTGTATTATATTTATGTAGGAGAACACCCTTTTCTTAGGCAGTATATGCTGAAGAATTTAGGGTGAAGTGTCTTAATGACTGCAACTTACTCTCAAATGGTTCAGAAAAAAAGATGTATGTATTTATGTTTGTATGTATATATGTATGGATCTATCTATCTTGAGAGAGAGAGAAAGCAAATAGAGTAAACTGTTATTAGGTGAATCTGAGCAAGGGGTATATGAGTGCTCATTGTACTTACTATTTTGTAGTAAGTAAATATGAACACTTAAAAAAATAAAAAGTTGGAGGCTGGCCTGGTGGTGTAGTGGTTAAGTTCTCATACTCCACTTTGGCGGCCCGGGGTTTGCCAGTTCGGATCCTGGGCGTGCACCTAGCACCACTGGTCAAGCCATGCTGTGGTGGCATCCCACATAAAGTAGAGGAAGATGGGCACAGATGCTAGCTTAGTGACAATCTTCCTCAAACAAAAAGAGGAAGATTGGCAACGATGTTAGCTCAGGGCCAATCTTCCTCACAAAACAATAAAAAAATAAATAAAAAAGAGTTGGAGGGAAAAAGGCATTTAACATCACCTCTAGAAATGCTTTCGCAGTCTACCTCCTTGCCTTGACGAGAACTACCATCCTTCATACACTTATAGCACTCTATGCATTTCTTTATCATATTGTATTTGTCTGTCTTCTCATTAGAGTATTTAAGGTCAGATCCATTTCTTGAATCTGCTATTTATTACTTGTGTGATCTTGGGCAACTCAGTTTCTCTAATTGTCAACTTATTTTTATATCTGCAAAATGGAGATAATACACCAACATACAGGGCTGTTGTGAGAATTAAATGAGATACAGCATGAAACTCATTTAGCATTGTGCTTGTCTTGTGTGAAGTCCTCAAAAAAGGAAGGTGTTACTATTTGTATTACTATTACTAGTAGGTCTTTACTCTGTATTCTCATGTCCTGTATAATGCTTGGCTCATAAGAGGGGCTCAATGTTTGGTGGATGAACGAATGAATAACGCATTGCTCCCTACTTTCATTTTGTTGTTGTTTTTGGGCATCATGTAAAAACAACTAGTACCTGGGGGAATGACAAAATGGTTAACACCAAGCAGAATCATACACCAAAGATTACAGACCAGTAGATCTTGGACTTCTAGGGGGGCAAGGTGGAACTGTGGTCTCAGTTTCTGTGGATTTTCTTAACGTACTTGTAGAGATAGCTCGACTAGCAGCCTATGTGAACAGTCCTTATTCCTGTGCCTTGGCCATTCTCTCCCCACTCCCACCCTGGGAACATACCTGTGTTTAGGCTTTAGGCCATACAGTTCATGGTCAAACCTTTGGTTCATTTTATTTTCCAAATATGTGTTTACTAAAGATTGACTACAAATCTTTGTCAAAAAATGTTGAAATCGAGATAAGGATGACACATCCAAAGGATATCCATAGTCTCCTACTCGACTCAGGATCCAAGCCCCTCTCCTGGTGCTGATGAAAACCTGGGGCACAAGGAAAAAACTTTGCTTTACCATTCTCTGGCTCATAATCCTTTAAAAAATCCCATTTTCTTCAAGATTAAGTTTAAACTCGTTAGTCTGACCTTTTAGTCCCTGCACAATCTTTTTTTATTTCTGCTATTTTCCTTCTCAAACACTAAATTGGTGTATTCACTGACCAAGAATATGTCTTACTATGAACCACCACTGCATTTCTATTTAATGTCATTATGCCTCTCTGAAAAGCCCCCTATTCTTTTAATTCTCCAAAGCCTATTTATTTTTAAGATCCAGATCAATTCTGCCTCCTCCATGAAGACACCACTGACTGTTCTGACTCACAATTTTTTCTCCCTCCTCTGAATTTCTCTAGCACATATCACTTGTGTGGCCGATTTAAAATCATGGAATGGGGTCGGGCCCGGTGGCACAGCGGTTAAGTGCGCACGTTCCGCTTCAGCGGCCCAGGGTTCGCTGGTTCGGATCCTGGGTGGGGACATGGCACTGCTTGGCAAGCCATGCTGTGGTAGGTGTCCCACATATAAAGTAGAGGAAGATGGGCACGGATGTTAGCTCAGGGCCAGTCTTCCTCAGCGAAAAGAGGAGGACTGGTAGTAGATGTTGGCTCAGGGCTAATCTTCCTCAAAAAAAATAAATAAATAAAAATAAAAAATAAATAAAATAAAATCATGGAATGGTAAAGCTGAAACAACTGGAGGTCACTGAAGCCAAAACCCTCAGGTTTTTTTGCTTTTGTCATTGCGTTATTACAAAAAGCTTATCACTTATATTGATATTAAACTTTTTACACTCTTATTTTCTGTCTTTCCAAACGTGTTTTCTCCAGGGTGGGAGATATAACATACACATCTTTTAGTCTCTTCAACACATCATCATCATCACTTCCATTTATTGAGAATTGCGAGCTATAAGTCACTGTGCTAGGTCCTTTATCTATATTCTTATTTAATCAATACAACAACCTCTTGAGGTAGGTATTATTATCCCCATTTTATGGACAAGAGGCATGGAGAAGATGAATAATTTGCCTGAGATCATATAGCTAGTAAGGGGCAGAGCTGAATTTCCAACCCAGGTCTGACTCCAAAAGCCTGTGCTTAAGAAATGTTCCATTGCCTATTTAATGGAAAAACTGAAGATTGCTAGTAGAATAATAACAGGAAGCTGGTCAGTCTTTCTATGTTCTCTGCTGGCTAACATCCACGTTCAGAACTAATAAATGTTTGATATTCAATTATCGGGCAAAAGTATCACTTTGTCTACACTACAAATCTCTCTAGAGATAGTTTCCAGAGTTGTAAGGTTTCTAAGTACATTGCTTTAAGGTCTTCTGTCTAAGCTCTCGTGTGAAAAGGTGGCCTTTCTACAGAGGGATAATCAAATACTTCCTTCATATATTGTCACTGCTGGTGACCGTAAGCACTATCATAATTAAGCACTATTACATGTCACAGTAAAAGAGCATGCATGATCTTTGTTACATAAGTATATGAGTAATATAGATATTCAGAGCCTCAATTAAAAGGTTCTCTATGTATAAATAGTAATAATACATCACAAGACTGTTGTGAGGATTAAATATTGTTTTTGTAAAAGGTGTGGCATATAGTAAACACTTGATAAGTGCTTAATGGCATCGTACATCTTATTTCAGTTTTCCATCTATAGTTTGTTTTAAGCAAACAGCATATTTACAAATCTGGATTTATAGGGAAAAAATGCAAGGAAAATTGTTTTACAAGAGAAGGATGTTTTCTCTTCACAAAAGTATTATACCACAAGAATTATTATACCAAAACTTCCTTGATAAACTGAAATTTACAGATTCATTTAAAATTTTTGATTTACAAACAACTTCTCATAAATACAACTTAATATGTAAAGCAAAAAGTTAGAACCCAGCAACTGAGTTTCTTCAGCTTGTATTAGTGGTGTGATGGTGCTGGCCCCTTGCTATGTAGACACAGTTTTGCTATGAGTTTTCCCAGGCTTTCTTAGACACAACCACCTTATCTCCTTTGCTTCTGGCTGCTTTGTTCTTTGGCAATCCACAATTCCACAATGCAGGTAAGGCCCAGCTCCCTTATAACTGGCCACTGGACGAGCCAATGATGTTAAAGAAGGCTCATGCTGTGGGTCCCCACCACATACCTTGCACATTCTTCTATCATAACACCTATAGACAGTTTTACCCTTTCTTATTTATGTTTCTACTTCCTGATAAGTGCTTGATGAATTAATTCACAGAGTAACATATGAAATCACTTTTGTGATGATAAATGGGGTAGTACTAGGAAGCGTTATTTAATGGAGTTTCTGGGTAAGGGTCATCTAACAAAGTTGTAGCATTAAGCTTCTATTTTCTTTTTAAATAATTTAAAACATATTTGTGGGGAAGCACAACTTAATTAAAGTTACTGAAGAACAATCAGGCATTTACCTATGGCCAATAAAGTTAAGATTCAATAAAGACATGAATAACAAAATATAATAGTAATGTGTCTTTTTCTAGGAATTTATAATGAAGACACTTCTCAGTTCAAAATATATGATAGAAAAAACAAAACAAAACAAAACAAAAAACCACAAGGACATAGAAATTGCTTTAGAGCAAATGCCATTCCGTGTTACCTAACTGTATGCAAAGGCTGGGGTGAGCTGCTTGCATGAGTGGATGCTTTTCAGACTGATATCCACATTGCCTTTGGAAAAAATTAGACTGCTTCTTTTTTCCATTTAAGGAGTGAAGACAAAATTCAATCACTGTCCTATGAGTGAAAAGTTTTCAATGACCCAGTGTGCTTTCCTTCACATAAGAGCATGGCACTTCCGCTGGCCAACAGAAGAGCCACACTCTGAATGCTGCATTCTAAAGGGGTTCCCAGCAATTACTTGGTCTTCCTCAAAGCCAGATGCACACTCTGAGGAGGAGATAGCTGATTGGGATTATCAGCACAGTCTGTGGTCACGAACTAATTCCTAAGTATGAGGCCAACTGAAGGATGGAAATCTAACTGGTAACCTTGGCTCCCTCACATCATCAATCATAATCTTGCCAAGTGAGGCAATGAAATGAGCCCTACATTTGCCCCTGGCACTGATGAGCTATGTGCAGGTATCCAGACTCTCTGTCAGGTCCACCTGCAGCTTCCTTGGTGAAGCAAAGTAAATAATTTAGTGATTCAAACCTGCTTGGCTGTGTGGCTAATCTCCACAGCCAGATCCCCTCCAGAATTCCCAATCCCAATTATAAGAACTCTCTTTCCAGTGAAACTCTCTGGGTTCTTATATTCTCGACTGTGGAGGTACTGTCCTTTGAACTTCTCAATTCCTGCAAGAGAAGGGAAAATAATTATCGGGTGATGGCTTATCTGATATCATTTGTCAAATCATTCATTCCTTTTTTTACAGTGTGTAGAGTTTAAGCATCTATTCTCCACATGTTCTCACTTTTCTCAGCTGCAGTCTTGCTTTTCTGAATATTTTTGCCTATTTTCTTTTCCCAGAGCTCAGAGCAGAACTTTGTGATTTCCTTATCATAAGTAGTTTGCTTAACTCAGTATCTGTTTGTAGTTTGGAATTGTAGACTCACAAATCCAAACTGCCTCAGAAAACCTCCATTCTCTTTCCATCCTCTTTAAATACCTACTCTTGTTTCAGTTGGAGCATATATACATTTACACTCTATAGGGCACTTATTTTTTTCAAAATGAAAATCCAGGCCAAAGACTGTAATTAAATTCTCTCTTTAAGCTTTGATTTATTCCTTAGAAACTCAATATTTCTGTTTGTTTCCTCCATTGCTGAAAACGTCCTCATTCAACCTAATGTGGATCAACTCTACATTCTTTGTTCTGATCCTTAGAAAAGCCAGACTCATTGTGAAACTAAATATAGAGCCCCCTAGTTTTCCTCTAGTCTCTAAAATTAGCATTATCTCTACCCCCCAAATGGTAGTAATAAAAGATACCCTGACATCTTTCAAGGGAACATACAGAATCAGGGTAAGCTTTATTTCATTCCAAGGTAGGATCACTCAGACCACAATCCTCCCATTCCTCAGGGCTCAGGTCACAGGCATGGTTCAAGGGTCTTCCTTCCTGGTAGGCTACTCACCAGGGAAGCTTCCCAAGGGTAAGTGAGCATTGGTGTGATGGCCAGTGCAAACCATAACTCCATCAAAGACATTCACCTCCTTTTCCCCTTCAGATTCCGTGACCACCTCCCATTGGCCTGAAGTGGAGAAATCAGGCTGCTTCTTCACACTGCATACAGTGGTCTGAAAAGCAAAGTGATAGCCATAGGGAGGGGACTGTAACCACAGCCTATACAGTGGACATCTTCCCTGACATGATTCTCCTTACAGAGTGTTACACAAAGGGCTGATATCACATAATAGGGCTCATATAGGGATATCTGATTTTCATAATCCACAAATAAGAACTCTTTTGTTTGGGGCTGTGGTCAGAGTGAGAAAACTTGCATGAGGCAGTCTAAATAAAATAGAGTTGGCAGGCTAATGTTGCACTCTCCTCTCTTCCAGAAAAGTGCAATTTCCTAGTTCTCTGAGATCATATCCTAAAGCAGTGTGACACCTGAATAAAACTTGGATTTCTCTTGTGCTTCTAAGATACTCTATGCACTAAATGCCCATTCCTTCCCTGACCTCCAGACATCCTGAGACCCTCTGATATCTTCTTACCCCAAATCCTGTTCTCAATGTCTAGCCTTAAACTTGTGAACTGAGCTACAGGGCTGTTTCCTAGTAGAGGAGAAAAACATCTCAGTGGCTTATAGTTTATGTAAATAAACCTCTCTGGCTCCCACGATTGCCCATTTTACAAATAACTATAAAGAAAGAGGCTGTGAGATGGGATAGTCAGTGGTATAGTTTTTAGCTTTTTTAAAAAAATAAATAATAAATAAAGGTTACTCTACCCAGCCTAAGGAAACATTAAGAATGTGTTCCTATGTGCTTCTAGGGTCTATGGCCATAATGTCCTAGTGGACTAACAGAGACACCACCTCTGCATACCCTAGCCATCCTGCAGTATAGTTCCTTTCTATCATATTCTTGCTTTTACACAGGCTAGTGCTTCTACCTGGATCATCCTTTTATTATTTCTTCATTTGGCAGATTCTTACTCACCCTTCAACATTCAGCTTGGATATTATCTCCTCTAAGAAAACTTCCCTGGTGCCCGATACCTCATGCCCTGATGGGTTAAGCATCCCTCCTCTGAGCTGAAATATATAGATCTCTATGGAATATATCACCCTGTAATGCTTTATTTTTATTAATTTTTTAATTTATTTATTTAAAGATTGGCACCTGCACTAACATCTGTTGCCAGTCTTTTTTCTTCTTCTTCTTCTTCTCCCCAAAGCCCCCCAGCACGTAGTTGTATATTCTAGTTGTAGGTCCTTCTGGTTCTGCTATGTGGGACACCGCCTCAGCATGGATTGATGAGCGGTGCCATGTCCACACCCAGGATCTGAACCAATGAAGCCCTGGGCCACCGAAGCACACACACTTAACCACTTGGCCAGGGGGCTGACCCCCTATTATTTAGACTAACAATAAAATTTTTCTTCATTTTTCTATCTCTTTAACTAGACTATGAAATCACTGATTTTTTTTTCTCTTTGTATCTTTACTGCTTAGTATGGTAACAAACTTGTTCAATAAGTGTTTAAACAAGTGAAGGGAAATACCACTGGGCTGTAAATGACTTACTTTATAAGTTGTCACTGGATATTACCATTTTATTATTGTTGTTAAACAGAAAAAGGTATGATTTAGCAGAATGATCAGAAGGTAGAAGAGGGTTAGGGGTAGGGGAATTGGATGAAGGTGGTCAAAAGTCACAAACTTCCACTTATAAGATAAATAAGTATGGAGATGTAATGTACAACATGATGACTATAGTTAACACTACTGTATGGTATATTTGAAATTTGTTAAGAGAGTAGATCTTAAGAGTTCTCATCACAAGGAAAAACAAAAAAGAAGGTAGAAGATTTGGGCTGTTTGCCAGCTGTCAGAAATATCTTTTATTTTATGGCCAGAGTTAAAAATGATAGAAAAATTATGGAAGACTTTACAGCACGAAGGAACCATTGAAGTGATCTAGTACAACCATCTTGTTTTACAAACAAGAAAATTAAGACACATCGAAGTTGAAGAACTCACTTATCTGAGGTCACAAGTTGATTAGTGGTGGAGCAAAGACTAGAACTCAAGTTTTTGCTCCCTAATTCAGTGTTCTTCCGTCTACACCAGACTTTAACTTCTTTGCTTCCTCAATAACTTCCCAGTAACTGTTTCTCTGGGTTGTTGTGATCAGATAAAATAATTCATTGGAAAGTCCTTCAGAAAGTATTAAAGGGCTAAGCAGTAGCAAGCAAGTTGTGGAACCACAAGTTTCAAAGTTCCCATACCTGGCAGTTCCTCTCATTTGTTTTATTGCAATCAAATAGTATAAAATGAAGGCAATGAAAACATTCTGGCAGGTCACTTCCTGGATTTGTGGTCAAAATATATAGAAGAGGGACCTTCCCCTGAATATTTTTCAGGCACAGAGCAGACAAAGAGTGGCGTCTTTGTCTAGACAGGGTAGATACATGTGCATATGAAACCAATGTTGACATGTCAGCACTGGTAAATGAAGCCACATTATTCATTTACTTGACAAACAACTTCAAACACAAAGATACCCACAAAATTCCTTACCTTAAATCGAATATACTTTAGAAGGTCAAATTCTTTGGCATACATCCTGAAATACTCTAGGATCTGGGAGTTATGCATGAAGTTGGGATAATCATCTGGGATGAGAAAGTCACTGAAGCACATCATCTCCTTAGAAGTGTTGATGACCACAGATTTGTAAATACTGGCCCTTCCTTCTTCAGGATTCTCCTGCAGTAAATAAGAAGCATTCATAGCAAGTTGAGCATTCACTTCGTGGTTTATAAACAGCCAGTAAACATTTGAAAAAGTTTTCTGAAGGAAATGCTAATTAAAAGAAGTTATACACCCCCCTCCCCCATATCTCCCACTTTGCACCCTTGTGTGGTCTCTTCCCCTTGTATCTGAGCTGTCTTTATGACTTTCTTTTGACTAACAGCATGCAGTTGGAATGATACCGAATGGCTTCCAGGACTAAGTCAGAATTAATCTTGTAGCTTCTACCTAAGTCTCTTAGAAAGCTTGCTCGGGTAGAAGTCAGCACCCCTGAGAGAAGTCCAAACACCCTGACACCACCATACTACAAGGAAGCCCAAGCTAGGCACATGAAGAGAACATTTGGGATAGAGAGATGTGTAGCCAGCCCCCAGATATTCTAGTTATCCCAGTTGAAGTTCTACACTTGAAAGCAAAGAGGCCATAGCAGATGTCCAGTCTCAGCTGTCACTCGATTGCAATGACATGAGACTCCAAGTGAGAACTGCCCATCTAAGTAATATAGTCTTTTAAATATTTTATATATTTCAAAGCCTAGATAAGTTTCAAAGGTTTTCATATACTTGTGAGACTGCTCTCCAGGAAATATTGTACTAACTTAGATTCTGTCCAGTATATGTTCCCATTTTACCTCATTTTTACTAACTTAGAAGACTATTACTCAGTGTTAGCAAAAATGGGGTGGAAATGGGAACTTATGCTAGACGGAGTGTAAGTGAGTACCTCAGTGTTTTCTGGAGAGCAATGAGGCAAGTATATGAAAGCCCTTGAAACTTACTTAGCCTTTTAAAGAAATATTCAGCATTGTAGACGAAGATTTATCTTAAAGGATGGTATTGATAGCATTATATATAATATAAAAAGGAAATAAGCTAAATGCCTGCAATATTGTGATTTATAAGAAATACATATTTGGTTATTCAGATGACCAAAATATATTTCTCATATGTATTTGGTCTTTGTCCACAGTTCCTAGCTCATAGCTCCCCAAACACTTGGAGTTGCCCAAGTGTTGGGAGTGACAAAGGTGTCTTTTGTTATGTTAATGAGGTAATTTTTGGAAAGCACCTAAGGATGGCGGCTGGTTGCCAATGGAGCCACCATGTGATTAGAGGGTTGGAATTTTCAGTCCTATGCCCTGATCTCTGGGGAGGGGAGAGGCTCTGGAGGCTGAATCAGTTGCCAGTGGCCAATGATTTAATCACTCATGCCTATGTAATGAAGCCTCCATAAAAACACAAAAAGATGGAGTTTGGGGAGCTTCCAGGTTGGTGAACCTGCAGAGACTCAGGGAGGGTGGCATGCTTGGAGAGGGCATGGAAGGTCTATGTCCTTTCCCCATACTTTGCCTTATGCGCCTCTTCTATCTGGCTATTCCTGAGTTATATCCTTTTTTTTCTTTTTTTTTTTTTGGTGAGGAAGATTGTCCCTGAGCTAACATCTGTTACCAATCTTCCTCTTTTTGCTCAAGGAAGATTGTACCTGAGCTAATGTCTGTGCCAACCTTCCTCTATTTTGTATGTGGGGTGCCACCACAGCATGGCTTGATGAACAATGTGTATGTCCACCCCCAGGATTTGAATCAGCAAAGCCCTAGCCACGAAAGTGGAGCATGCAAACTTAACCACTATGTCACAGGGCCACCCTGAGTTATATCCTTTTATAATAAACCAGTAATCTAGTGAATAAAAGGGTTTTCTGAGTTCTGTGAGCTGCTCTAGCAAATTAATTGAACCCAAGGAAGGGGTTGTGGGAACCTCTCATTTATAGCCAGTCTTATCAACCTGGATTTACAACTGACATCTAAAGTCCAAAGTCCAAGGAGTGGCTCGCTGGAACCTCTAATCTGTAGCTGGTTGGTCAGAAGCACAAGTAATAAACTGGGCTTTTGACTGGCATCTGATGTGGGGCTAGGGGGCAGTCTTGCAGGACTGAGCGCTCAACCTGTAAAATCTATGCTTTCTCCAGGTGGATAGGCATCAGAATTGAATTGAAATTTCAGACACCTTACTGGTATCTGAGAATTCAACTGGTTCAGAAACATTTTAATGCCTCCCAAACTACTCTGAAATTTGAGAACCACTGCTGTAGATCCTTACTGCCGAAAGTATTATCTGTGGACCAGCAGCAGTGGCATCGCTTGGGAGAAATGCAGAATCTCAGGCCCCACTCCAGACCTACTGAATCAGAACCTGCCTCTTAGCAAAATCTTCAAGTGATTCAGATGTACCTGGAAGCTGAGACGCATTGCCCTAGATGACATGACTCCACAATTCAGTGTTCTTCCCTGTACCAAGATTAACTCCTTTACTTCCTCAAAAACTTCTAATAACTACCTCATGGAGTTGTTGTAGTGATCCACAAAATGATGCAATATCCACCCAGACTATTAGTCCCTCACTGAGATGTTACAAATGATGACTTTTCAAATCTATTCGATTTTTAAAAATTGTTTTGATTAGAGAAAATCAGCTTAACCATCTTGAACCCCCCTTCCCTTTTTATGCCTGAAACGAACAGATATTTGGATGCTGGGTATTACTGAACATTAAGTAGCCACAAAACAGAGTGTTCGTTGACGTTGCCCACGTGAGAGAGAATTTTCTTCCCATTTTTATACAAGAATTTTTCAGTCTAGGAATCCTGAATTGATCATTCTCATTTCCCTGTCCCATACTCCAAGATCTCATTCCCTTTGGCTGCTAATAACATTTTCACAAGTCTCTTTTCAAGTCTCTTCTTCTAATTTATCTTACCTATTTCAACCAGAGTGTTCTTTCTAAGTGGCTGTATCTCTGCCCTAAGTAAAATTTTGGATGTTGTCCCATTTTCCCATAGTTTATATTTTTCAGCTTAGGATTCAAAGACCTCCAAAATGTCTCATAGTATACTTTTTATCTCCCCGACTATATTGTAAGCCCCTTGAATTGTCTTCGTGATTTTTGCCACAGCTTCTAAAATTATAAATAGAAAAAAATACCATTTATAATAATATCCCCCAAATTAAATACTTAGGTATAAATCTAACAAAATATGTACAGGACTTATATGCAGAAACTATAAAACTCAGATAAGAAAATTAAAGATCTATATAAATGGAAAGATATTCTGTGCTCATAGATTGGAAGACTCAATGTTGTTAAATGCCAGTTCTTGGGGCCAGCCCGGTGGTACAGGGGTTAAGTGCACATGTTCCGCTTTGGTGGCCCGGGGTTTGCCAGTTTGGATCCCAGGTGCGGACATGGCACCGCTTGGCATGCCATGCTCTGGTAGGCATCCCACATATAAAGTAGAGGAAGATGGGCACAGATGTTAGCTCAAGGCCAGTCTTCCTCAGCAAAAAGAGGAGGATTGGCAGCAGTTAGCTCAGGGCTAATCTTCCTCAAAGAAAAAAAAATATGTCAGTTCTTCCAATTTGTTATGTAGATTCAATGCAATCCAAGTCAACATCCCGGCAAGGTATTTTATAGACATCGACAAACTGATTCTAAAGTTTATATGGAAAGACAAAAGGTCTAGAATAGCCTACTTTGTCCTTAAGTATAGACTGTGCGTAATGACTTTCTTCCAAAGAGTACAGTATAGCAAGGGAGAAAAAAAAAAAAAAAGAGCAACTTTACAGTGGCAAAACCTGACAAACCCCATCTCAAAACAGGCCATCAGTGTTAATATCAATAGTGATAAGTCATGTTGATAGTATGCACCATTGATATGATGTGATGAGAATGGTTCTCCACCTCTACGGTCTTCCTCCCTAAAATCTACAACCCTAGTCTAATCATGATAAAAACATCAGACAAATCCCAATTGAGGGACATTCTATAAAATACCTAGCCAGTAATCTTCAAAACTGTCAAGGTCATCAAAAACAAGGAAAGTCTGAGAAATTGTCACAGCTAAGGGGAGACTAAGGAGACATGACAATTCAATGTAATGTGGTATCCTGGATGGCACCCTGGAACAGGAAAAGGCTGTTAGGAAAAAACTGAGTAAATCTGAATAAAGTATAGACGTCAGTTAATAATAATGTGTCAGTATTGGTTCATTAATTATGACAAATGTATCATACTAATGTAAGATGTTAATAATAGGGGAAACTGGGCATGGGGTATACAAGAACTGTGTACTATCTTCCTAATAATTCTGTAAATCTAAAACTGTTCTAAAATTAAAGTTTATTTAAACATGGTTGTACATAGCACTTTTTAAAAAAAATTAAATTAATGTGTGGCAGGGTCATTTTGGAACTAAGATGTTTGTGGGGGCAGGGGTAGACACATTCCTAACTTCTGAATTTGATCTCATTCATTCATTCATTCAACAGATATTTGTAAAGTCTCTTTGTAATAAAAACACTATATTAGGTGCTAAAAATTACAAGTCTGTCCCTGTCATCCAAAGGTTCAAAGTTTAGTACAAGTAGAGCCATACTTTCCACAGCAGGTCTGTCGGCGTAGCTGAGCTAAATGAATCACAGATATTACCCCATGACAACAGTCATAACTTATATTCTTTCTCAAGTCACTAATACAACAAAGTGTTATCTTGTGTCAACAGTCTTCCAGCCCTTCCAAACACCTGATTGGATTCTAGGCACTAGAGTTTATCAGTGTGTCAACCCTCTGCTTTATAAAAGAGAGTGGGAGCAGAGCAGTATTGGGTTAGTGAGTGGAGAAAAGAAGCTTTTGTTCCTGGATTTTAAAATTTCCTACCATCCATGAATAAATCTGTCCTCTACAAATGTACCTTGATTTTATTTCCTGCCCAAGCACATGACTCCCACATTTGAGTAGGAAGTTCACATAAGAAAAGAGAGAGCAGAGGACTTAGGGTTGTGTAATTGGAACTGAAGGGATTGGAGGCAGTAGTAAGCTCAGAAGAAAGGAGAAAAATGACTCTCTTTCAGTGGGAGAAGTAAGGACAGGATGGATCTTCTGTTCCTTTGACAGACTCTC